TGAAGGGCTTCAGGAGTCGTAGAGTCAGTTACAACGGAGAAAGCAGGACTAGCGCCAGCTAGAGCCTGCCTCACACTATGGGGAACATCATCTAGATGGCTGTACTGCTGAGCCATAGCCTAAGAGGATCAAATCAAACTCCGAAGGAGAACCCAACCATCGAGCCTCCACACGCACCTGACCTCCTGGCCTCAGCCCTGAAACAGCCCTGGAGCTACTGCCGAAGTAATCCCGGGGAGGATCCTCACGACCCTGCGCACCTCACTTTGTGCGTCACACTTGAGCCAATGTATGGCATGTCATTCACTTGCGCAGGGGCCATGCTTCGAAGCCCATGCTTGGTACACTTCTTGATTTGTGCTGCATGCAATCACAACTTAAATTCGGCTCCTTGGGCCGGCCTAGGTGACCTCTACAAACGGTTAAGGGCTTACGGTTCAGAACAGGCTCAAGGAAATACCTACACAGGTTTATGGTAGGGGACTTTGACTGTGGGCCGTACTACTCAGGCACGAATACCCTAAACGATACTACCTGAGACCCTTCCCGTGAGCATAACCAAGGTTTGACGCTCGCCGAGAATAGAGGAATTCGTCTTGTATGTAGGAACTCTTGAAGAGTTAATGATTCGGGCAAACCAAAATTTGCAATCATGTTGGGATTCTCATGTACAGCTGAACAAGGGCTCTTGCTTGAAGATGGGTCCCTTATCAGTTTCCATCATCTGGTGCACAGAAACACTAGCTTTGAAAGCTACCCTGAAACTGACTGACCGGTGCCTGGGTCACAGTGGAGAACTGAAACTCTAAACTTATGGCTGAAAAACAGGCACGTCCCCGAGCCCCTTTTCGTGGCCTATATGCGCTCGCTCTTGAGAACCAATAAGACCTAAACCTACATCTGGGGCCCTCGCATGTCAGTGAAGCGATTCCCCTTTGGCGGCTGCGCAGGTCCAATCCGGAGATCCGGAGACACGCCTGGGATTTAGGATGACGGGGATGTTCGGTTCACGGTTTAGGGTTCAGCGCTTGAGACTTTGGGGCTCAAGGATTAGGGTAGGTCGCGGCTTGCTCGCTGTATGCTCTGCTCTGTGGTGATCTCGGGCTTTTCTGTTTTCATGATACAATCATCGAAGTTGCCAGAAAGGATGTGTCCCTGACGTTTCCCTTTCCGCAGCACTCCTTTATCGTGTGACTAACTGTTTTCTTTGGCAACCTTTTGTCATTTGCTTTGTGCTGAACTTTGCAAAGGGCTAGGGCCCCGGCGCAAAGTCATGACATCCTGCAGATGCATCTGCCGCAGTCCATTTCAGCACTTTGGAGCAAGGTGCCTTGGAAGGCCCAGCTAATTATCAATATCATTCCGAGCTTTGTGTGAGGTACCCTGAACCATAGCAATACGAGGAACTTACGACCACAATGTTGGACATTAGTTCGTCCCGTGGCACCTCAAGAACCAGAGATGCTGGGAGGGAACCTCCACGGAGGTCTTCAGGGAAAATCCGGATGAACTACCGCGTCTCACGTTTGGGGGCCCATGCCTTGCTAAATGTCCTGTGAAAATCTTGAAATGGGTATTCTTGAGGCTCAAGGTCCCCCGTACATCAGGACCCCTGACACGGAACCCACAACAATGGCAAGTCGCTTCTCAATCCGTATTCCTCCCTAAATCCATCTAAATCCCTTTCCACCGTACCTGCCAACCCAGGTCCTGCGAGTCGACGAAGTAAACGTGAACGTTGATCTTCTGGTCTGTCTGGACCTCAGCAAGATAAGTATTTAGGGTCTAGGTTTTAAGCTTTATGGTTTAGGGTTCATTGCGGGTGGACTCAAAGCAAACAGATTCCTTGATCTTTGAGATGGTATGGGCCGCAAGCTGTGCCTGCGCACGCATCTGCCGAGCTATCTACATTCTTACCTACCTACCCACCTGCCTGCCCGCCTACCTACTTACTGACATGTCTACCCGGCTGCCTACCAACCTACCTACATAGGTATGGCACCTCTCGCGCCGGAGTAAGAAATTCTGCGGCCACCATCATTACACTGTGTTGCTGCTATGAATGTCTCGACCACAAAACTACGATTTCATCGGCCTACGTGCCACGGGCTAAAACCTCAACCTCGAACTGGGTTGTGCTTTGTGATTTGCTGGATGCTCCTCAGCTCCTTCGAGTATATGACCACAAGATTTTCCTAAACCTTCAACATCATAACCTCCACCCTTGACATCCATCCCCTCACCTAGCAATTAATGTGAAACACTAATGTCACTAATCCTCCTGTCACGTGTCTTCCGAGACTTCTTTGTTGCTACTTTACCAGGTATATTTCTGATCAAGCCCAGGGAGGCTCAACATGGCTCGAAACAGCTCATATAGAATCCTCAAGAAGGACGTCTTACACTAATGTATAAGGGTCATATAGGGTTATATAGGGTTCTATAGGGATAGTGGAAACTACGGTAGGGTTTATACTCCCCTCACACTCCCTGCAAACCCTTGACATCGAAAATGAGCTTCCCCTGGCACGCTCCAGCATCTTGAGATTCCAGAGGAGCAGAAGGACAATTCCAGGGTGAGCACCCAGAGATCCTAAACCCCGAACGCTAAGCCCCATAAACCCTTAACCAAAAACCCTAAGCCCAAAGCACAAACGCTGTAAACCCTAAACACGATCTGCTTCCTTCCAGGCCGTGTGACTGGGCCCGGGCGCCTACGGAGCAAGGGCTCCGATTGCGAGGCGGCCAACACAGGAGGCTTTGCAGGGGCCTTCGTTTGGGGAATACGATTCAGGTAGGGTTTAGGGGCTAGGATTGGGGGTTAAGGTTTAGGATTTGGGTTTTTGTGTTTCTTTAGGGTTCAGGGATTGGGGTTTGGGAATTCGGGTTCAGGGTTTAGGCATTTCAGGGATTAAGGTCTCAGGTTAAATGCTAATGTCTAGGGCTCAGGGATTACGACGATTAGAGTCTGGGGATCAGAGTCTTCCGGCATGGGAATGGAGGGCATTGGTAACTTTGGCAAGTAGCAAGTTTAGGATTTCAGGCTCCTGGGTTAGGAGGCTTTGTGCTTGGATTTGCGCGTAGACCCCAAACACAGATCCTTCAGACACCAGGATAGCGCGACACCTCTGACATCTCAAGAAGGAAACCATACAGAACGTGGACTGTGTCACCTGTGCAGCTAATGTCTCTACATGACATCACCAGGGTCCGATCATGCCATTTTATTTGCTCACTCATAACAGGAAAGGGCGCAAGTGATCTAGCCTGACCACTGTCAGGCTCACCATTTCGCTAAGAATTGCTATTCTTGGCATTGCCTTCATCAGCTTTGAATGTACGCGCAGCAAAGTATGCTGACGGACAACTTCGCACTCGCTCAATATTTCACATTCAGTATCACGCCTTGGCGTTGTACCAAGTTCTATCATCGCAACTATTCACACTTGTTTGGGCACATAAGAATTTCTCACCCTAACAAGCCACCAAACCGTAGGCTCCCAACACCCCAACTATAAGCCCCATAACCCCAGTTTCCATGTCATGTTCCATGCTCTTTTGCAGATTATTCTCCATTACAGTAGTTTATACAACCCCTATATAACCCCTAAACCCCTAAACCTGCCGACAATACTCTGCCAACAAAGCACCGGCTCCTCCCTGGCCAGGGAGAGCACGAAGGCCCTGAAGTCTTCGTCCGAAATCTTCCAGGACTTCTTCTTGGAGCCTGCAGACTCCTGTGCCAAGTTTAACAGTTTAGGTGCAGGGCTTAAGGTTTAGGAGCTTAGGCCTTTATTCTCTGAAGTCATGGCCAATCGCAAGCCGCTTCACTCACGACTCAATCGTGCCCAACTCTCAGCCTGAAACTCTAAAAACCGCACCCTACAGCGTAGACACGTCTATCCCTCAGCCTTAAACCCTTCCACTTATGAACCCTACACGCTAAAATCCTGAACCCATGAATTTCTGCACCCTCTCTGCGGCAATGTCCTCCGACTGCTCACCCGGCAGCTGTGAAAAAGCGTCGGCCTCCTTGGCGTTGCGCAGCAACCTCCAGGGTCCGCGTCTCAGGTTTAAGGTTTTGGGTTACAAGGTTTCGGGTTTAGGCTTCAAAGGTTTAGGGTTCAAAGGTTTAGGGTTCATGGGTTTGGGGTTTTGTGTTCAAGGGTTGAGGGTTTAGGGTCCAATCACCTACAGCTCCATGACAACCACACTCCATTGCAAATGTATAAAACCATAAATCTGTTGGCAATTGAGGTCGCAGATGTCTCTGTCCCATCTACATTCAGGAGTTTTGGGCTTCAAGGATTTAAGCATGAGGTCATTCAGGTTCAAAGTTGAGGGTTGACAGATTGATTTAGGTTCGGGGCTGCTCAAGGAACAGGACTCGATCAGCTTTGGCCCAACCACCCTGTATATCCTGTCCCCCCATGTCCCTGCAGTAGCATACTACTGGCTTGAAAGCGCCCAGCCTAGGACGCCGATTTTTATAGGGATAACACATTCTCCATGAGACCCCGTTTGGAGGTCCCTCTAATGACAATCCCAATAACTTGGGGCCTTGAAGCACCTCCATATGAGCCATAGTCTAAACTCCTTACAGGGGGGTTATATAGGGGACTACTATAGGGGTTATTAAGGGGGATACTAGGAGTTTAGACTATAGCTCATATGAAGGCCTTCGCTTATGTAGCTACGCTGCTGGTACCTGCTCCGTATCCATGCCCTTGACTGATTGCCAGATCGACAACTCTGAGCCACGTGACACCAGCGTAACTGATGCCCGTGTTTTTGTATTTGGCTACTCCAACCCTGCAATTACCAGGGTTTTCGCCATGTAGAATGGCTTCGGTCATTAGAATTTATTGAGAGATGCTCTGCCCAGAAACTAGATAAATACCAGGAATGATGTGTATTTTGCATGCCTCAAGGACTGTGAGGACTTCTGCGCTGCACGTGACGTTGGACGGGTCAGGTGTTAAGAGGTGTATTGAGGACGTGGTACTTCGCAACCACCCAAAAACCAGCGCTTTTGCATTTTGCATGATGTTGGAGATGTTTGGCCGCAAGAGTTGTCTTTTGGTATGGGGATAATGGATGGCGCATAATCATTTTTCGCGTTTCTCATTCTCATAATTGCACATCCGTAACCGAATTTTTGCACAGCAAGAGCATTAAAATGTCTTCCGAAATATTTATTAGTCAAAACGTCCAAGGTAGCCACTGTTCAAGGTTTCAGGTCAACAACAGCTTCTCCAAGCCAAGATTTGCTCTACAGTATTCCTGATTGTCAGGCTACTGTAAGCACTCTCCATACTAAGCCAAGATAATTCTATTGTCCACCAATCAAGACCGGTTTCGGAAGGTAACAAAAAGCAAATTCGCAGGAAATGCTAGCAGGTGTAGCACGCAGCATCCACGACCGACCGCCGAGGGCAACTCGAAACATGCAATTTGTAGGAACTGTTTGCAAGTACAATACTTCCTTCGGCAGCCAATACTGGGTTGCTGTTGAGGAACTTAAGCTAAGTTACCATACTGGGTATACATGTATTGTCTAATATGCTTTCCCCAACATAGTAACTCAAAGTAAGTTCCTTGGCAGCAACCCAGAATATGCTCCTCCAGCTCCTGCGGCTCTATTGCTCTGCTGCTCTACCCCGTTCCCCCTGAATGGGGATTATAATCGGGATCCTCATATTAAGGCCCTTAAAGGAGTGGGTTTATTAATCATGGGCCTACATTACTGCTACTGCTACAACTTCTACCACCCCTGTTCTACATCTCCTGTGTATTGTTGAGATTGCTTCGTAACAGCTACCAACAACTTCCTAGAAGGATATCTTACGGCGTCCCTCAAAGCAAGGATCCCTTTCAAAGTCTCGGATCATGCGCCATGAACGCCTTGTATGGGACTCTCTGAGTATGGGGCCGAACCTAAAATCTTGATTCATAGTGTCTGGGCCTCTCCAGCGCATCCTCAGTCTCTGCGTCCGCGAACCGAACAGACCTCGTGCCCCGAAACATGAACAACACAGTTTAGAATTCAGGGCCTGCGATTCCTGGTTTAAGGCCAGATTGCCAAGATTTCGGAGCCTGTTGATGCGAAGATCCTGCATGACCTATTTAAGGCACAGTCCAGCATTCCCGGAGTATTCAAAGTTTTGCCCCATCAGAGCAGGACAACAGTTAGAGGCCTTCAAAGTGCAGAAGCCATGGAAGGGGTGCCTTCCCCTCAGTCTGAAAAAAACACTGTTCAACACTCTGCCATGCAGACAGGAGCCCTCTTCCTGCGACCGGCAGCAAGCTGGACTGAAAGACAAATTCAAAATCTCAAGCCTAAACTCTGGAATCATGAAGTCAAAGACCCCTGAAACCTCAAAGCCCATCCCCTCAACCCAAACTCGCCTGCTCTTGTTCACAGAGGAACGCCTCCTCAGAGAAGATCGCAGCTCCGGTCGCTCCTGAATATGACAAGCTGCTTCAAAGTCATGGGAGGTTGAAAAGAGCGGCCACTTAAGAAGAAGAGTTAGAAAAGCAGTTAGAAGACGGACAACAACATAACATAACCCGAGAGTGCCAGGATGAGACAAGTGATCATTCTGATGACAACAAAGTATGGCATGTTGATAAGAAAAAATACTAACTTAACGGGAACCCCCAAACAAGGCAGTAGAGTTCCACATCGCCTTGCCAAGGGAGATAGGCAATAGGCCCTTCCATGTTAGTGTAGAGGAAAATGAGAAGGCAATAGACTCCCATAACCTTTGTAGGCTTTCCGGGTCCCATCTTAGCTTCATCAAAATCAATATTAAACTAAAGCTTAACCCATAATCCCGAAACCAATGCCTATGTCCTGAATGGTCTGAACTGCTGCTGATGGACAACATCTTGCCCGACCTTCAGCAAATAATGCTGAAAATTCCCGGGCGGGGCATCTAGGTGCATGCAGGATCGTGTATCAGCAAGTTTCCATCCCCAACCCTAACCCTTGAACCCTAAACCCTACACCCTAAACCCTAAACCCTATTCGTATCATTTAGGTCCTGCTCCGCCTCCTCAGGATCGGGGAGGTCAGGCTCTGCGCCGTAGGCTTCCAAGAGCTGAGCAAAGGCCTCTGTCTGGGTCTTTTTGGGGAATTAGGTTTGGGGTTTAGGGTTTAGGGTTTAGGGTAATTAGGTTTGGGGATTAGGATCTTGGGATTAGGGCCTTGTGCTTGTGAATTTCGGGCTTGGGGCTTTAGGATTTATGCATAAATGGCGTTCTCTGCCGTGACGCCCGTAGTCCCAACCTTATTTGGGTATCCAAACATGATGGGCACATATGGGCACACTGAAGCACCATGATTCAACACCTTTGGGGAGGGGTGATGTATAAATCCAAAATCCCTGAAGCATAGACTCGAAAGGCAGCATATCACACCTTAGGAGGGAAAAAACTCCCGCCTCTCCATCATCCCTTGGCCGCCGCACCCGCGCATGTTGCAGCAGGGACTGGGATACCTGAGTTTTGAGGTGGAGGTTTCTCAAGAAGGAACCCTACTTGCTTGTCACATTCGCCCTGGCTGGTCAAGAAGTTGGTGTTTATGGGTCTGGTGTTTTTGGTTGAGGGTTTGGGTGTTTTTCAATTCAGGGTTTGATGATGTTCTTTGCGCCGAATATGAGAAGCTAAAAAAAATGGCATCTGATGCCGCCTCTCCCCAAACGACTACGGCTATGGAGTAGAGAAGCAATAATCAGTCGCAGACAGAACCATGCTGTAGCAGGGCAGGGCACTGCAAAGAATGAAGTCAGAACGAATTTAACATTTCTCGAAGTTCAAGTGTCCCTGCACGTACGTATTAGCAGACTTGAAGCAAAACTGTGGTTGCCACACTCTGTGGACTTTTCATTTACTTGGTGCTGGACTACCAATGACTCGCGAAAGTAACCTGTTTGTCCTCTCTTTTTTAGGTCCACTATGGGCGTGGGTGGCTTGAGTACAACGATGACAACTGACAGTCTACTTCTTAGTTTTGTTGCCCCGTCTACGATTCTTCACTTGGAGTCGCCGGGACGAGCAACTCCAACTAAAACAGGGTAGCGAAACAACACAAAACGTCTGGATTGGAGCGTGGATTTGTGGGCTCAGGCCCACAACACCTCATAAATCTTGTCTGCGTAGTGCCGCGTAAGGCACGCCCTCTCGTGCCCCAGTCTCGCATACCATCGCCTCGAAAAGACAACAGGATCAGGTTGCTGCAAATTCTTTTGGGAGGAATTCACGGTAGTCAGTAGTCATATGCTTCAGCTGTTGCTGTCCTAGAGGGACGTAGGTTCACTCACTACACGGCTTGCTCTTGCCCTACTACTGTAGAAGGACGACTACTCAGCAATATCCTACTCTTATTACCTGTCTTTCTCACATGCAGACCAAAGTTCTGTGCACAGAATCCTCTAGGTAATGGCGTGGATATTTGCATTTCTCTGAAAGTGGTGTAGTGAAACTTGAGGAAGGCTACTTCTATCTTTACAATAAAAGAAATGATTGCCTTGTAGGGATCTATGTGCAGGTGCTGGGAGGTGATATATGTGGGGCGCTATGCGTACCATGTGTCAAAGCAAGGAAGCATAAAATGTCTCGTTGGATGTATCTAGGCCAAGGTTTTTGTTGGAGAAAGAGGAATGTAGAAGCCTAAATAATAGCCCATATCATGTTGAGATCTATTTGAAGTACTCTGTACCATAATTATCACGAAATCTAGCACCATCATACTAGGCTGCTGTTGAGGAACCTTTAAGTTACCATCACAAGGAAACCCTATCATTTACTCTATATATATATACATATAAATATATCAGATTATATATCTACTCTTGTAACTTAATTTACATTCTATTTAGGCGCCTACATGACACGATGCTACGGGTTGCCTGGATGTCCTCATCTGGGACGTGCCACGGCTTTGGCTCTCGTGGACGCGTGAGGAGTTCCTCAACTTCATCGTCCTGTGCACTGCTTACTGGTGCTTAAGCCTACTGGGGCTTGGTAGGGAAGAAGAGTAAAAATATATACATATACTATATTCTATATATATACATATGTATTTATAGAGAGTCTGTAGGGATTCAATTCCCGTATTCCCTCCTAAGAACCAATAAGTAGGGGTGGCTGGGGCAATGTAAAGGGATGTTACTTGCAGGAGAGGATGTAGAGATAATGATAGTGATCTACTCCCCGACTCACTTCTTGCATTAAGATTGGTCAGAACTGCAAGTTCCAATTATCGTCGAAACAAGACTGAGCTTTCTTCTACTGGACAAACGCTCCAGCATCTCTTCTTACAGTCACGGACCCCCTTTTACATACAAGCTTCTGCCAGCCTCTTGGACCGTTTGAAGACTGCAATGCGGAGTCAGACATAGTTCGGTCAGAGTTTCAAACCGATTCAGGAGTCAGCTGCTTTCCAATGGCTTTCTACTTACTACATACTCGCCCGTTCCCAGTCACTAGGCAATATTTCCCTCCCAGGCGTTACTTAGCTGCTCACTTCTCTGCGCTAAGCACTCACGGCCTTCTTGGTGGTCACTAGTCAATACTCGTTACTTGCCAAGCTGGCCACTTGCTACTCACTACTCACTACTTACTTGCCTACAGCCACCCTCAAGTAGATAGGTTCCCCACATACCCTGTATTCTATCCGTTTCCAGCTAATCGAGAACCCAGAACAATGTTTTGACATCGCTGTGTTCCTTTCGCATCATTACCCTAGACCCTTAGACCTAAAAAAACAAAGCGAACTCTAACTAACCCCACACCTTGAACCCTGGGCTAGCCTTCACCCAGAACCCTCACTACACTTAGCCCAAACCCTGAACCCTAAGTCCTAAACCCTAAACCCCTACATCCTAACTTGGTCCTGATAGCCCTCCCAGCCATCTGTCTGATACAGCAGAGCGCTTTGCCGGAAGTCACTTCCAGTTGTCTGGAAAGGGAAGCGCTCATCCTCCCACTGCCACTCCTTTGGGTCGGGGTTTAGGTCGTTTAAACGAGGTCTAAGGAATTATGGCGGATATACAGGGATTTACGGGTGGAAAAGAAAAGAAAATTGAAGGTACTGCATCATTTAGAGTTTAGGGGTTAAATTTGTTTATATTGGAAAACCACATGGAAAAGGAGAGAACGACATGGAAACTGCGATTACGTGGGGGTTCAGAGGGCTGGGGGTTTGGGCTTGAGGGTTTCAGGTTTGGGGGTCATCAAGCTTTCTGGTTAGGGTTATTTAGGTTGGAGTTCAAAGGTCGAGCGGGATTTAGCAGGCTCATTGCTCATGCTACTCTTACTTCTGTTATCTTCTGATTTTCTACAAGGCTTTGACAAGGAATTTGTTGAGTCATATGGGACGAGAACAATGGAGTTGCCAGGGATACGTTCCAGAGGGCAAACCAGGCAGAGACCTGCCAATATTGACGAATGCCGCCTCTACCGTCCAGCTATGGGCCCTGTTTTGGGAGTTACCGTAATAAAGACATATGGACCCCGAAAGCTCTTTATGAATGGACCTGCTTTTGAAAACTCCCGCATTTTTATAAAACCGAAACAGAAGTTCATAACATCTATCCTATATCATATTTCCTCAAGCAACGAGATTGCATTAAAAACTGACAAGAGTTTAAAAGATCCAAATCCAGAGGCACCTCATGAAATAGATCTGCGCATTGCCCGAAAATCTTGAGATAATTTTTAAAACCTTAGGTTTGGGGTGGGGGTCTAAGTTGGCTGGTGGAACCCAAAATCCTATACTCGTTGTTCTGGGGAACCCCAGAAAATACTGCTGATTGAAAGCCCACCCCAGCCCTAAACCTTAAACCCTAAACCCTAAACCCTACACCTTTCCCCCTAAACCCTTAAACTTCAACCCCTAACCCTGGCCTGAGCCTGCATGAGCGTGGCCAGCTACACAGCAGGCTTATGGCATGGAACGGAGGAGAGCATGGTAGCTAGATTCCCTTGAATTTGGGTTAGGGTTTAGGGATAATAAGATCCCCATAAACCCATATTCTATCACCTCAAGGGGAACTATAAACCCTAAACCCTGGATACTCCGAAGGGGTTTGAGATGGAAGGTTATTGAACGCTTCTGGGGGTCCAGGCTGAAGGCTTTGGATCTTGGGGTCTTGGGTACAGGCTTGCAAACAGTTAGGGAGCATGCATCTCAGCTAGAACTCTCTGATTCGGCTCTCAGGGCACTCTACACCAGCGAGCCTTGTCCATTTTGTGAGAATGCATGTTGCAGCCTGCTGGTTGTTGACGAAAATGAACTGTTCAGTCGATCTATGCTCCTCACTCACCATGCATGCAATATACATGCTGCTGAGAGCTGCGTCATACCACACACGACTTCATCATGGTTCGTCTAGGGACCCAGAAAAGATTATGCTCGGATATGCTAAACTTCCTACCGGTATCAAAAAACACCATGATCTCTCGACAGCGGTCACTGCACATGAAGTGTTCACAGCCAAGGTAAAGAATAGAACAGTGGCCGGCTACCTTTTGCAGACGGCGGCAGTGCACCACTGAAAAGTATGGACCAACTTATGGGCCATGCTACCTACCCGGCACAGAAGGGCTACCTCTGCATTTGGGGAACTAGTACTATTACTATGATTATTACCACTACTCTTACTTCTGTTATAGGGGCTTTATAGGGATAGTGGAAAAGAAAATGGTAACTAATACCATAGTGGGTTATATAGGACCATTAGTATTATTACTACGCGATTGTTCAAGGGGTTCAAGTTTGCCGAGCTTAAACGGGGATCGGCCAGGAGAAGACATTTGGCATGTTCAGAGCCAGGCTTCATGTTCGTTCCTGCTGAATGGTTCGTATGAAAGGTACAACAAATGGCCTGGATGATTGGGTGTATCATATGCTACACTGCTACAGGTAAATGAAAACTTGCTTTCAAAGTAGAAGGCAAAATTCTCTAGATCTTTGGGCTTCTAACTGCCCGCGCGGAGGGGCCCTTCTTGCTGGAGGCCTCCCCTACCGCGGAACTCCGAGAAAATCAGGCTATTGCTGGTGCATGTTCCCTGGGTTTACCCTGTAAAGACCACCATCCTTTTCAAAGGGGAGCTATATGGGCATTCATGTTTGGGGAAGTAAGGTGTTCGAAATTAAAATGTGTGCTTCCGCACTGCAGTCTGATATACTTGCAAATGTTGATCCGCGCTCTCAGAAGGAGACATATGAGCCTAACTTAAAAGGATGTGTTTCCTGCAGCTTCCTGATAGCAAGGGAAGCTACAGGTCATAATTCGGAGTTTCTCAGTATTCGCCCAACACACTCCATAGAGGTGGCGCCTAATCCCTACATACCCGTGGGGGTTCCGAGGGCACCCCTGCTTTGAGAAACCCCGAACTGATGGCCAGAGGCAATATTGCAGCAGTTGCACACCTCTGACCGACGCGCACGGTGTTGAAAACCACCCGCCGGTAAACCACCCCTCAAAGCCCTTGCGTAGCCTAGACGTGCTTAGCTCACGCGAGGGCGCACGGCCCGCACAAAATCATCGGAATCATCCGGTGCCCACACCTGGGTGCCATCGTCCAGCTGGATGCGGTATGGGTTGCCCTCATCCCATGTTCTCACGATCTTCCCGCCTTTCCAGCCACCTGGCACATTCGCCTCGATCTTGTCCCCTGGACTAAACCTTACGTCCTCAATGACCTTGCATTCCATGAACTTCTTCTCCAATTCGATCTTGTCCAAGTTGCGGCCTATGAAGACAAAGCGGCATTCTCGAGGCTCATCCTTCTTCCACTTGTAGCCATCCGCAAAGCCACCATTAAAGAGCATGTGAACACCCTGGAAGAGGTATTTGGTCTCCATGCCCTTAACAGCCAACATGCCCTTGTAGCGAAACATGTCCGTTGCCTTGGTTTGCAGCATTTCACTGATCCACCTCTCCAACTTGTTCACGTTCAGCTCGCCCTCGAATTTCCAGCTGATGGAACTGATGCTGTTGTCGTGCTGGTGCTCCCCTTCGGTATTCATGAACTCAGGATCCATCTCAAGAACCTCAGTTGCTCACGGCTTTGGGCAGGCTGGGCTCCTTCAGATGAAAAACTGATAGCTGGGAAATCATCAAAACAGTCCCTGCGCAGAACCCCCTACGAGCTGCTCGTCAAAGCCCCACACATTTCTGAAGTTCTTACACCCAGATTTTGACAAACCACCCAACTGACTTCGGCAACCGTGGAGCCCGTTCCAGTGAGAATGCCTGGATCCCGATCAGCTTGCTTGGGTCCACCTGATTAAGTTTTTTAGCAGGAGGAGGAGGACTGTCGCTGTCATCGGGCAGTAGCACTAGCATTGGCGGCAGCAGTAGCAGCAGCTGCTGTTGTTGTAATTCAGTAGTTTCCATTGTCTTTTCCATTATCCCTATATAACCCCAATATACTATGGTGTGGGGGACACAAACCATGCGAATTGAGATCAGGGTTCCTCACAGACAACAGGATCCTAATCCAGAAGGAAACAGTTGACAATCAGGTCCTCCATCCCAACTTGCTGGGGGTTAGTAGAGAATAAGGGATCAAGATCACTATATGATCCCTATATACTACATTCCCTTATTTCCTACTAACCCTCAGAAAGGAAAGGAAACGTGAGTTGCAAACACTCCCGCCTTGCTGTGCTCGGCCTTGATAAGGTCTGCATTGCCATTCACCTGCTGAAAAGAATGGTGTCAGTTCACAATGCCCCTACTCACTGAAGGTTAGGAATATATTATATAGGGATGATAACAAGATTATCTTCCCTTATTCCCTCCTAACCCCCAGTAAGTCTACGAAGGTACAAAGCTTAGAGTTAGAGTCTGCAATGCTTGTACCTCCCAGGTGCTTTTCATGCGGGCCACGCTAGTTGCGGGTTTTGCAGGAAGGGAGGTAGGAAGACCACAGATGACAGAGCCAATTTCCTGACGAGAAGGGAGAATCTCCCTGAACCAAACACCCAAAAGTCTAAACTCAGCATTCTAAATCCTGAACGGAAGATGATAACTCTGAACCCCACACTTTAAGCCCTGTACCCAGAATCCTAAACCCTTGCCAACCCAAGGTCCTTGACCCAACCATGAACCCAAAAGCCAAAGCCCCAATTCCAAGACCCAAGACCCCAAACCAGAAAATCCCATACCCTCAAACCGAAACCCAAGACAGGCCCAAGAACCAGAACCCTGATCAGCCCAGCCTTCTTGACCTCCGCCATGACTTCCGTCAGCTTCTCATCGTCCACCAGGTCCACTTTGTTGAGGATGATCCTGCAGACAAGGAAACCCTTCTTGAGGTTCTTGGGGATTAGGGGTGAGGGGCTCGCGGGCTACGCTTGGACTTGTCCCTCCGGGCACACCAGTCCTACGCTGAGTGGTCTCCAAAACAAAATAAGCGAAAATGAGAGACTTTAGCCGGATGATCCCTTCTGCAAAAACTCCTTCATCTGCTCCATCGCAAGACGTACTCTACTAGATCAGAAAACAGCAATTAACACAACAGAACAGGTTCCCCGCGAAGATGCGACCCAAACCTTGCAGGGTCCTTCTGGCTATGTTGTCTGAGCTCTATGTCTGCTATGCACAGATTCTGCGACTGTCTTTCGTGGAAGCACCTGTAGCTGGGCCGTCCTGTCCGCAAAAGCGATCTGCTCTACAGTCTCGTTCTCAACACCTTCGGGCTTCTCCTCCAAGTCATGACCCAGCTCAATACAACTGAGAATAAAAAAAAGCCAAGGCATACACCATTTGCATCTTGCACCCTCTCGAGCTGCCCTTCCCTAGTGCTTAGCAGGGCTGTGCAGTCACAGTTGCTCCCAAACATTGGTAGGCACCCTGATCAGGTGTATGATTTTCAAGTGTGGGCCGAAGAGGTCTGCACCATGGGGGGGGAGTCCTCCCGCAGGTGTTCCAGCACGTGCTTGCAGTCCACCACCGTGATGATCCCATCCAGCCGATAATCCTTCTCGATCTCTGGATCCACGAAGAAAGTTTGGGCCACAGGCGCTGGATCAGCCATGCCAGTAGTCTCCTAGGTGGCTGGTACGTAGAAACCTTAGAAGAATGCTAGCATCATAGCATCATAGCGACTGTCTACACCCGATGATTGTGTCATTGGGGATTGAGGAAGATGGCTCAGAACAGCCTGATGCCCGGCATTCCTATAACTTCTCAGCCAACTATCACCCAGGTTCGATGATAACGCCGTCGAAGGTATCAAGCCTGCTTCCGCCACGGGGAGGCAAAAAAGCTACTGGACAATGCAGTTGAAACACAGGCTTGAAACAAGCGATCATGAAATGCAATGGTGTCCACGTGCGTTCCTTCGTGCTTTCCGTGCAGGATTTCGTGTTGTCTTTGGCGCAAAAACCAAATGAGAAGCAGCTGCGCTGATTTAAAGTCTACGGGGCTCCCTTCAGTATCTTGCCAGCATTGTCGCAGCTGCGAAGCAGTGGATGTCAGATGCAAGATACTGGAATTCTGAACCTACTTAGGCAGCTGGAGCCATTTTTCTGAAATAAATTTCTTTTCCGTTATCCTTATATAACCCTACATTATACCCTATTATACTATAATAGTTTAGATTCTTTTCCATTATCCGTACATAACCCCCTATTACCCCATATACAGAGCTTCAACGATCAGAGCCTCTCCCTGAGACGCTTCAGGACCTTCACCAAATCGCCACGTACAGTGCAGCAAATACAGCCGTTCCTGAAGCTTGGGTGGCAGTACTTGGAAGCTTAACATAAGACACTTGCTTTAGCTGCTCGTAATCACACAATGCCCATACTGCACTCTCACACTCATACTGAAATTACTACCACTGCAAATATTACGAATACCGCTAGTGCCATTGCCCCTGCGACAACCATCCCACCACCACCGCCTCCACAATGACTATGATGTCATGATGAGTTGAATTTGATTTGGAGGTCTGCATAGTACACATTGGATGTGGGACTTGTAGCCCAGCTTAGAACTACAGCTGCAAGACTGCCTGTGTCGCTCCGAATTGCTGAAACATGCTGATGCACACATGGGATGTGTATTGTACCCTCTATCTACACTTGGTCTTGAGAGGCAACCACATCTGGATGTTATGAAGCTCATAAGGAACAAGTACTCCACATGCTTCCTAAAATGTGGCCGTAACCCCACATAAAGCAGGACTTCCCGCTCAAGTGCTTAGCGTCATGACTTCGATCACTTGCTCCTCGGAATCCTCTTTGATGACATGCTCGTCCACTCCAACCTGACATCCATGAAATGTAACATGAATGCTCGCAGCGCTGCGTCTCTCCTTTTTCCAGGCTCCCAAAAAGGCTAATCAGGGACTGCTTTCTTCGCTCTCATGTGTAATCATGAGCTGACCACCTATCCCAGCCGACTGCTGTCATTCTAATCTGGTCACACAATACTCACACAAGATTGAGTGTTTGGCATGTATCGCCAGCCTTGCAATATTCAAAACTTAGGGAGCTACAAGTCCCTTCTACGTGATTGAAACTTGAAAGCGAGCAACTTGCACACGCCTGAGTATCCTTGTTATATAGGGATAGTGTAAAAGAAAATGGAAACTACTATAGCATATTGGGGTTATACATTGGTATTACACTGGGAAGGCCTCTCCGAACTCGTTCTCGATGATGGCAAACTTCATGCCATGCTGAGTCGACTCCAGGATGTGGTTCAGCAACGTCGTTTTGCCAGCCTCGGATGCAGCTTCCCGCTGGCGATGCAAGTCTTCTTGATGAACGCAGCACCGAAGCGTCCCAAACCATATGTTCCGTCCTAGAGACTGCGACTGGAAGTTACAGGAGCTCCAGAATGCTGAACTGGACTCCCTTCAGCAAAGAAGCTCCAAGAAATCCGGTGAGCACGGTCACGGGAATGACCTTTTTGGGCGCCGCCATATTCACTCTTCCAAGCAAAGGCACAGGATTCTCTCAACCGAAATGGGCTGCAGACGGGCCAATCACAACAAGGATAAACGCCAAGACAATTACAAGGACAACAGCAATCGTAAAGCTGGACTCGTAGGACACGCGGGGGCTACAAACCATTTTTCCCCACTAAAATTCGTTTTGGAGTTGGCCGTCTCATCGGTGAAACGCCCACCTCCGGCACTTGCAGGGGGTTGTGAGCGAGGTCCCGGAGCTGCCAAAGCAGCGGCGGTGATCAAAGTCATCCTATCCTTGCATGTACATGATGAGTGGAATCCTTCTTCGCTTCTGCCTCCCACATTTGAAACTCGGGCATCACGTTCGGAAGGTGCAAGCGGCCTTTGTGATTGCAAGTTATTGAGGCAGGGACACTGCTCAATGCTACCCACATGCATGTAACAACCGCAGTCCCGACATAGGAAGCAGTGGCAACCAGGTCCCTCCTTAAAGGGCGAATTGTCACTTGGCCCCGGGTTCGATGCGCAGGGTCCCGTTGACTTCATGCGCACGGAAACGCTGCTCTCTCTGGTCAGTCTGCCACTGCAAACGGAACAGGGACATGTAGTCCTCAAGGGCCGGACATCCTGAAAGAATGCCGCATCATACAACGACATGCAACTCAAACACTTTCTTCCAGCTTAAAGGGGCTCCATTTCCCATTGCTAGCAGCCAAGGGATGCCCAAGTCTCCCAGCCATGAGAGATGGAGCCAATGATGACTTCAGCTCAGAGATTTCCTGGCTGGGCCAGGGTAGCCATGCTGGAGCTCGCAGGTCTCACTCCAGCTCCCTGTTAGCAGGGAGCCGAGAGTGAGACCTGCGAGCTGTAGGAACCTTCGCGACGTCATGTTGAGCTACCTTAGCTCCGCGAGATCCCACACCAAATCGGCGCATAACAGAGTAGCTTCTTCGCTCATATCCAGTAATGCTGAAAAAAAATGGAAGCTACTTTGCAACACGGGGGACCCCTGAACCTTCAACTACAGCGCCAAGTGTCTCTGCACGTAAAAAGGCCGATGTTCGCATCCTGCGGCCCAAGGATCTACTACTTGTAGGTTCTGGGACCTTCCTAACTAACCATTGTTCTTGGGGCTGTAACAATAATTCCTATCCTCCCAACTCTATGCAAGAGCAAGCTATCATATGGAGCAGAGCTCAGGCTTTTCCCGTGCAACAATCTAAAATCATAAAGAATACTCAATTAAAGCCACTTCTCATCTGAACGAACCTGCCTACCCTGGCAATCCGCAACCCCGTGGACAAGCGGCTCCATCGCAAGCCCAACACAACTGAACCGCCTACGTCTAGGTTATAATAAGACATGCTGCGGGGTACCTGAGGGGCTTGGAGATGATGGTCAGTAGGGCTTCTATACGGGTATAATAAAGGGCTATATAGGGATAGTGGAAAAGAAAATCAAAACTACCATGTAGTATATTGGGGCTTTAGGGCAAGAAGGGTGCGAGGGGGCAGGTCTTGAGGGCTTCCATGAAGCGGAAAGCAGCAGCAAACTTATAAGAATCTCTATCGCAGCTATGAAACTATATGTGTAAGTACGCTTCTGAAGAATATAAAGGTCCGCCTACGTATTGCATGTCTTGAGGACTGCACAGCTGGACACATCCAAAGGGCAAAGCCGTGCTCTTGCGCAGAATCTACTACCAAGAGGTTTTCAGGACTGCCATACATGGAAATTGCACAGCAAGTCCAAAACTTGAACATCAATTGGTGACCGCGTATATACACCAGCCGGTATTGCTGCACGCCGCAAAGCTGTCATGACAGTGTGCCTTGTTTTCATTCTGCTGCACAGAGTGGCTCTGCTCTTGTTCAAATACTTTTCAGAAAGGGGAAAAGACCCGTAGGCCTTACGGAGTAAGGCGCTTTGCACAGGAGTGCATGAAATTGAAATGATTTCATGCCACCCTGTCAACCTGCCATAGCCCCCAAACCTCACGAGTCCGCTGGTGCGCATTCATGCAGTGATCAACACAAATCTGGCACAAAGGGCTATCTGCTGACCTAGGCGCTCTTAAGGCGGTTGCTGATGCACAGGCATGGCGACTAAGCCAACTGCACCATCCTGGGATCCTGTGCCAGCGAGCAGGATGCACAAAAAACAGGGAGGCCTGCAGTAGAGTACGAGAAGCCGGAGCAGGCTTCAAGCTCTCTGCAGCGACATCCTTCGCGACGGAATCCCACGCAGAAACTGGGCCGTGCAAAGTGCCTCAACTTGCACAGAACCGGCTGCGGATCTAATTCAGCCGCCACTTGCTGAGCTAGCATGAGCCATCGCCATCGAGGTTGCTGGCACGACTGGGAGAGCCAAGTCCATCGAGGCACGTATGCCCCGATCTTGCACGCCTTTGTTCGCTCATGAACTTAGGGCGAGCCACTCCCAGCGGGAAGCCGCACAATCCGTGCCCCCAACAACCCCAAGCGCTCATCCAAAAATGCAACAGCCATCAGCCTCAGTGGCCTCCGGCGAATCCTCCCATCAGCGGTCTGGCAGATACATGGAGCAGACTGGAAACACCAAACCAAAAGCCAGGAGTTCACTGTCACTGCGAGGCGTCCAGGCCTCTTGGACACCTACAATCATCTGCAGCCGACTGGCAAGCCTTTGTGGCGTGCACCTGCTTGCACACTCAGACATACATCGCGGCCAGGCATCTGAAACTTCTCCACAGGAAGTGGCATGGAAAGACTCTTTTCCTCCCAGAATTGGAAAGCGGAGCCCGTGCCCGCCAAATTAACCAGCTCGCACTACCATCTGGGCTGCTCCACGGATCATGCTCGTCGCTTCATGGCAGATGGAGCTGGATATTTGGACACACTACGGCTGGGCATTCGCAGCACAGGCAACACCTCCTTGCTCTTGGCACCCGGTCGCGCAGAGGATGAGACTGTGAGTTCAGTCTGATCACCGAGAACACCAGCACCGCGAAGGCATTGACGTGGTGGGGGCCTTCACTGTCTGGCACTCATGGCTGCCAGCTTGTTCACACAGCAGCTTACCTGAGACAAGAGCCATAGCTGTCTCTCGGGCTCAGGTGAACTTCTGTGACCAGCCACCCCTGGGCATCCAACCTTGGCGGTCACTGCCTGGCTGTAGGAATACAAGCAACCACCTGTCAAGAAACGTATGTACCTGGGACTGGCCTCTTGCGCTCATCGCCCTCCTGTTCACTGTTGTTAAGCCAGGCCCCATGGGTATGGTCTGCAGCACGGTTGGGTGTGATCCGACATCCCGCTGACACGCATGCTTCATGTCAGGGTCTTGCCCTTCCAAACGAATCAAAATGAGAGCTCAGAGTGTCTTAGACTGCTACTGCAGAACTGTACAGCATTGCAGCTTCTACGCCGATGGCTTCGGCTAACAGACCACATTGCACAGAGGCATGGGAACGCCTTAGCTCGGAGATTGCAGTGGCCAGCTGCACTTTTTCAGCTGAACTCTGTGCTGCAAGCTTGACAAACCTAAGGGTCTCTGTTCACCTAAAATTACGTTTGTCAAAGTAGCGGCATCCACTGCATGGTTTCAGAAAAATCCCAACCACCGGCAACTGCTTAGCTGAAAGAGGCCGGGCCCTTACATCAAGCTATGCGCCTGGAGCGCGTGACAGCAACCTGCAGGGCCACAAAGTGGGTACCGCTCGAAGGGTTCTTCAAATCAGGGCTCCTTTTGGGGTCATCCTGTGCTAGAGACAAGTACCAGCTGCTTTGCAAGTACGGCTGCTTCGTCCTGCTCTTCAAGAGGGGTCGCTTCAGTTTTTGCAAACGCAAGACACCAGACGCCAAAAGACTCGAGCCGCGGAAACAGTACTTCTCATTCTTGCGGACTCTCAGGCAGCCACAGAACCGGCTGAAGGCATTGCTCTGTTGATCGGTTTGGGAGAAGAACAATAATAAACCCTATATTGACCAAGTCTCCATTTCATGTTCTATTTTCGTTTACATTGATTCTCCATTATTGGGTAATATTCCTGATATTCCTAAACCCTGAACCCTCAATAATTTAGTAGCTTCCATTTTCTTTTCCATTCGCCAATTTACCCCTAGATAGTTTGCGAGCGAGCTGCATGGCCTGGCTGGAACCAAGTTTCTAGGCAGACCACGGGAAGAGCGATGTTGATACTCATCCCTAGAAGGCTTGAGCAATCTAGCCCTTTGGGATCTCTAATTTGGACTTCAAGCTGCAAAGCCTATGCGACTGATCGCTTGTACAACAAATCTGCAAGCCCCATTTTGCATAAAAGCTCTCAGCACGAGCCCTGACCACCAGCGGTTGCTCTGCTATTAGGGGCCCGGAAAGGTCATATGCGCCGCCGCGCGGCCCGATTCAAGGGGGTCAAAGTCCTGACTGCTTAGGCCACCAAGGACAGATATTACCAAAACTAAGCAGCGGCAATCGTGTCGATCTTCGTCAAGATCCTCAAGCGGCCACAGAAAAGCCTGAAGGCACGGCTCCTTTGATGGGCCTGGGACACTTCAACACTGTTAATGGACACAGCACAGAAAGAGCGATGTTGATACCATTCCTACTTGGATACTTTGGCAGTATGCTGACACTTTCGCCGTTTGGGATCTGTAACTCCAGACTCAAAGTGTAGATCCTCAGCTGCCTCTGGCTGCGAATTTTATCTCTACTTGTCTCGCAAGCGAAGCATAGCAAAGCACAGCCATCAGCCTGCAAGGATGAGTCAACACTGCCAGGCAGAAAACTGAGCTGGGATAAGACTGAAGGTCCTTCGTGCCCACTTGGCGATTCTTTGGGCTGTCTGCACTGACCACCAATGCAAAGTCTGCACGCATTAGCAAAATGTGTGGCTTCACCACGTGTGGACTACATGGGTATTCTTGGTCTAGAGATCCTCCACCTTTGTATATGAATACACCAAAAAAACAATGATCCTTTCTATAGGGGTTCCCCAAAAGAAGCCCCTGGCTTTGCAAACCACATGCCTTCTGT